TTTGTTCACAGACTTATATTGGTTTAAAAGTGCTGGGGCAAAATACTCAAAAGTTAAAATCAGACTGATGAAACAGGATGTTTTAAAATCTATACGTAAGGATCTATATGAGGGTATGCAATTAACTAGTTAAAGTCTATTAAACTAACAATGAGCTGACTCATCGATAAGGGTTCTTCACTTCTGCCTAATTTTTTCAATTGTGACAAATTTTTATCTTCCTAGCCAATATATTACTGGTTAGACAGATTTTTTTATGTAGATTTACTCATAGCTAAAATGCTTACCAACATTTTCCTAGTATAGTTTATCTCATGCCTCAAAGAATTCAGACTGATAATTTATAAAAATGAAATGACTATAGCAAACCAAGTGAGATCAATGGTTAAATCAAGCCAACTCTTATCTTTTACGACCTGTGCTTAATTCTAGTCAGGTTCTAAACAGTTTAGAACAAAATCTTTCAAATCCTTTTTTAAAAAAGAAGACCATGCACATGTATAACCTATATTGAGTTGCTTGCCTTTTCAATGAGGGTAGGTGGGGAGGGAAGAAGGGAGAAAATTTGGAACCCAAAGTTTTAAAAACACATGTTTAAAAAAAATGTTTTCACATGCAACTGGGAAATAAGAAATACAGGAAATGGGGTACAGAAATCTATCCTGCCCTACAGGAAAACAGAAGGGGAAGGGGATAAGAAAAGGGGGGGAGAGATAGCAGGGAAAGCAGACGAGGGGAAGGGTTATTCAGAATGCATGCCATCTTGGGGAGGCACGAGGTGGAGTGAAAATTTGGAACTCAAAATCTTGTGGAAGTAAATGTTGAAAACTAAAAATATATAAATTTATTTAAAAAAAAAAAAGACCAAAGTCATTTCTGAAGTGCTACAGCACTTTTCAAAGTACTAAACAAATACTTCACCATCACAGAAGAAATATACCTATACCATGAATCTAATTATATGACTGCTGGGTCTTGTTTTGAGCAAGATCAAAAATTCTCCTAAAATTATCCAAACTTTCTATATCTCCAATTTTCTACTTGATCAAGCACAATCATAAAGATGTCATCTGTTTCTTCAGTGTCAGTGAGATTTTTTTATTTCAGGGGATGTGGATTCTCTTTACTAAAGTAAAGGCTGTAACCCATTTTCTCAACCTAGGCTATTCCATCCATGTCATCCTATTAATTCCTCCCAAGGACTGGCCCAGTCTGAGAGAGGCCCTCATACAAGTCCTTCAATATTCTGTGAGTATAAATTCTCCTCTTTTGAAGAGAGGGGTGAGGTGTTATGCAAAAAACTGAAGATCAGAAGCCACAAGATATGGACTAGATTGCCCAGGAGCTGCACTGGTACCCAAAGAATGCTATAGCCCATCTCAACTCATTATATCTCTCTCCTATCCTAGGCCACAAAGAACAGCTAACTTAGTAAGAGGGTAGAGAGAGCCAAACAAAGTAACCTCTGTGAATACCTCTAACAAGGAACCTTGCGCACCCTCAAACATGTATTGTCATACTTGTTTGTGACCCACCACTCGCCCTAGTCTGGAAAGGTAGTAAAAGAGTATTTAGACTTCTAGAAACTGATCAATTTCAAGTTGGTTGTCCCACCTCAAAAATATCAATCTTAAAATAAAGTCAGGTTATATTGGCCTGAATCTAGCTGGCAAACTGCAGAATCAATTTCTAGATCTTAACTTGCAGACTTGTTCTGAAGATGTAGGCCAACTCACTTAAAAAGTGAGCATTTAAAAAAATTTTCCTTAGGGCAGCAAGAAGGAGAGAAGGAGAAGGAGGAAAAAGGGGGTTTGGACCTCTGATTCTGTTAGTTTAGGAACTCCTGGTGTGAAATCCGTTCTGTAGATCAACATCAACCAAATTTTATTAACTCAGAGTTGCCTAGAGCTCTGATTAAGTGAATCCTGATTTCACAAATGAAAAAGCTAGTACTCAAAAGTTTTATCTTATGTGTCTATGTCTTATGTGTCTAAGAGTCAGGGAGGCCCAAGTTCAAATCCAGCCTCAGACTCCAGCTGTGTGACCTTGGTCAACCTCTCTCAGTTTCAGTTTCCTCAGATGTAAAAATAACACTTACCTCCCAAGTTGTTGTGAGAATCATACAAGATAACATTTGTAAAAGTTTGTGCTCTTTTCCACTGTATCAAACTCATTCTCCATTTGCAAATTAAAAGTACATAAATTTCTGTCATTCTGAAGTCAAACTTATTATACAACCTCATTTAAAAGATCCAGGAATTTTAGAGCATTCCTGTATTTTACACTAGGACTTCCTTATATTGTGCTCCACTATATCATGGAATTTAACCTAACACTCAAATTCTATCATTAAAAACAGTAACATCTTTAGACTTTTCTGCTCTCTGAAAAGAGGGTGAGGGAGAGGGAGAGGTACATAGAAATGTTAAGTCTAAGCCAAAAAAACCCAACATTAAAGTGTCCCAATATACTATTAAATCTTACACACACACACATCTATAAATATATAAAATATTTTAAATAATAAAAGTATGAATTAAATACATATATGCGTGTAAGATTTAATATATACATATATGTATTTAATTTATATTTTTATTTTTTAAAAACATTTTATATATTTATAGATACATATATGTGTGTGTGTGTGTGTGTGTGTGTGTATAGATACAGATACATGTCTCTCCACTGATCTAAGCCCCAAAGTTCTCATGCAACAGGTAGTTTGCAAAATTCTGAAACAAAATACTCTCTAACTGGAATTTCACCAAGATTAAAACACATACCCATAGGTTTATATTAGTTAAAGCTAGAAGTGTCTAATTTCTCTCTCAATCCTTGTATAGCCTAACGGTGTCACTTGGTACACTGAAGCACATGATCACTATCTCTTGTCTGGTTTAAGTGTTTAGTGGATGGTGGAGGCAGCTAAAATCAAAGTGCCATTATTTTATGTACAAGGATGGAAGCCAAATATTCAAAATACATTAGAAACTTCAAAATTGTTATCTTCTATTTTCACATTAGAACAGCAAGAAGGTATGTTTAAGTGTCATTCAAAACATAAGTTTACTTTATAGGCCTGCTTAACTGGTTGAGTTTCTATAGTCCTTGGTTCTTATTTATCTTACAGAGTTTAGCGACCTGTGCACAAGATTCCTATTTGTTACACTGTTTAATATTAGAATGTCTTTAATACATATTGACACTTGCAAAAGTAAATGTGTTAGAATATACATTATATTGTACCAAAAATTCACTTTTAGCCCACTTCTCTTTTGGCCCAAGAAGTGTCATTAAAGAGCCCTCACCTAACAGAATTCAGAATATTTCAAGTACTATTGTACACAGGAGATTTCTGAATTTTTGAAATAAGCACCAATAAGAAATCGAGCACCAATGGAAAAATAATTGGGTCTTTGCATCCAAAACACACTGTGTGTAATACGAATATATATATATATACACAAACACCAGGTACACAATTACCAGAGACCTAGTATAACAGCAATAATATCTAGCATTTTATATAATACTTTGAGATTTAAAAATCATTTTACATGGTTTCTCATTTTATTCTGAAATTGGATCCCAATTTGAGCAGGAAAATTTGATAGAGTTGATAAAAATCTGACTGAAAAAACTTCTCTTCTAGTTTAAAATTTTATTTGCTTTTGTATTATTCTCTTACTTGACTATTTTTCACAGGATCAAAAGTTCTACAGATATCTTAAAACATCTATTCCAAGTCCTTCATTTTACAGATGAGGAAACTGAGGCCCAGGAAGTTTAAATAAGTTGCCCAAGTTGCTTGGCAAGATCTACACTAACCCTTCCCAGGGAAGGGAGAGAAAGAGAATAACTATACACTCTTACCTCCACTTCCATACCAATGTTTACACTGTAATTCAGTGAAGTGCACTTTAACTAAACAAAATAATTCCAGAAGAATACATTAAAAAAAAAACTTACAGAGGTTTTTCTATCAGTTGGCTGACTTCACAGAGAACAGCAGCAAGAACCAAAGGCCAGACACAGGCAACAAATGAAACTGCCTATAACCTACCTGGTCATTTCAAAAACCTTCCAGACAGTCCAGTTCTGCCAATCAGAATATATTCCAAAGACTCAAAGAACAAAATGAAACTTGCATAAATACTTAGTCATCACCAGGCTATTAAATTAGATGTCAGTTTCACACAGCCAGGACCTAGCCCAAGTTCCTGATTTCAGAAGCCCAAACCAACCCATCTCCTGTAGACACTCGCTACCCAAGCGCTGTTAATTAATACTGTGCTGATTTCATGGGATCTCCCTCATCAGAATGTGTGCTCGCTGAGGACAGGGGCTGGCTTTTGCCTCTCTCTTTGTATCTCCACGGTGCCTGGCACACAGCAGGTGCTTAAAAATGCTCCGTTTATCTGCCACACACGTAAACTTCATAAATGATTTTATCTATCTGGAACATAATAAAGACTTTACCTCCCAGTAACTGCTTAATAAAGGTTTCATCTATCTACCGGGCACACAGTAAGCGCTCAACGCAGGCTTTACCTCTCTGCCACAAGTAAGCTCCTAAGGCTTTATCTATCTCGCCAGCACATAGTAAGTGCTTTGCAGCTCTTCATCTATTCGGCACATAGTAAGCGCTTAATCAAGTCTCTATCTCTATGCCACAAGGTAAGCTCCTAAAGCTTTATCTATCTAGCTGGCACACAGTAAGGTCTTCATAAATGCTTCATCAAGCAGGCATGTAGTAAGCGCTTAATATCAAGTGTCCCCAAAGTCTTAGTGCAGCTTTACTGCATTTGGGGGGCACCCCTAAACGCCTGGTGACTACCGACCAACGCGACCCAAGAGGAGCCAGGGGAGCGGGGGGCCGTGCACGACACGCGAGGCCCAGAGGCCAGCGTGCTCCGAGGGGCCCCCGTCCCCGGCACCCCAAGGTGACAGACAGGGCGGCCCGCGGCCCCCACCGCGCCTCCAGGCCCGGCGCGCACCTGCAGGGTGGTGATGTGCTTGTCGTTGAACTTGTTCTCGCAGTAGCGCAGCACCAGCGACGTCTTCCCCACGCAGCCCTCGCCCAGCAGCACCACCTTGAACGAGTAGGCTCGGCCGCCGCTCGCCCCGGCCCCGCCGCCGCCGCCGCCTCCTCCGGCCGCCGCCGCCGCCGCCGCCGCCGCCATCCTGCCCGCCCGCCGCTTCCCCTCCGAGCCGAGCTCCCACCGCAGCGCAGCCCCGGCGGCGCCTTCACATCCGAGGCCCGACCCCGCCGCCGCCGCCGCCCGTGGCTCAGGCCAGGCCCCGCCGCCGACAGCGACAACGACAATGACAGCGACGGCGACGACGCCGGCCTGCCGGCCCCCACCGGGCGAACAGGACCTCGAGCGCCGAGCCGAGGTCCGAGAAGGGACCGCGCTCCACGTCAGGGGCCTGGGGGAAGAGCGCTCCCGCTCCGACTGCCTCTAATGGCGTCTTCTTCCTCCTACGTCACGCGCAGCGCTCACGTGACGGGTGGGCGGGGCTACGGGAGCAAGCCCGGAAGAGACGCGCTACCGCCCGCTCGCGGATGAGGCAAGACTCCAAGGCGCCCGCCCCCGCGGGCCGGGCTGGCGTCTGGTTAGCGCCGGGGACCACGCCCGAGCTCTAACCTCCGGGCCTTTGCACAATCAGTCCCCCACCCCCCCCGGAATGCACTCCCACCTCACTGATACATTTTATTTATTTACATTAAAAATACATGTATATATATGTGTGTGTATATATATATATACTTATTTATATAAAGCTGCAATGAATCATATAGCAAATACATTAGTTTTACATAGGAAATACGTCAGTAAATTAGTATTTATTAAGAGCCTATCATTCGCCTAGCACTGTGCTAAACTCTGGCATACAAAAAAGACAAAAGCCAGGCCTGCCCTCAGGGAACTCACAGTCTAATGGGAGAGACAGCATGCAAACAACTATGTACAGCAAGCCACATAGAGGATAAATCTGGTTGTGTTATAGGAAAGGCACTAAGTCTAAAGAGGACTGGGGAAGGCTTCTTGAAAAGGTTGGATTTAAGCTGAGAGGAAGCTAGGACTGACAGCCAGGAAAAAAGCTGGGAGAGGAAAGCTGTTTTTCGTCCCCTCCCTTTCTTTTTTCTTATTTTTTCTCCCCAAATTTAATTATATTATTTTTTCCCAATTAACAAGCATTTTCTCTCCCTTCCCTGTCCCCTCACACACTATAAAAAGAAAGAGAAAAAAAAACACCTGATAAACATTCACAGTCCAACAAAACACATTCCTAGACTTGGGAATATATGTCTCATTCTCTTTTTAACATCCATCACTTAAACGTCTTGCTCTTTATTTGACGTCGATCATCGCTGTAGCAATAGATAGATAGCAGCTTTATCTTCGGCCTTCTGAAATCTTGGTTTGTCCTTGCATTTACCAGAGTTCCAAAGTCTTTCAAAGCTGTTTTTCTTTATAATGTGCTTGTTATATAAGCTGTTCTCCTGGTTCTGTTCACTTCACTCCGCATCACTTCATAGAAATCTTCTCAGTTTGCTCTGAAACTGTCCATTTCCTCGTTTCTTATAGAGCACTAATATTTCAGTGCATTCAAATACTATAATTAGTTAAACCATTTTCCCAATAGGTAGGCACCCTTGAGAGCCGTTTTTGTTTGTTGGGTACACTTTATAGTTGATCAGGGAGGATTTCCTGGTAAATCAATGAGAGAATATTTACACCTACTTTATAGAATGTTGAACATAGTTTTGCTGCTTGAAATAAGTGTAGGCATAGAATGATGTCTCTAATTTTATGACACGTTGTTGGTCATAACTGTTTTATCCTAAATCCTTTTTCAGGAATCCAAAACCCAGAAATCATATTTCTATTGGAAATTAGAATCCGCTCTGTGAAGCTCTATATAAGCACAGGGCTTTCAGGAGTGTATTACCACAAAAAAACTATTACATTTTAGCATCCTTTGATTATTTCTAAATTCAGATCAAAAGGCCACCTCCTCCTACATGAGGCCTTCTTCAATTCCCCTGCAGCTGCTAACACCTATTTCCATCCTCTTCTCCCAAAATGATATCTTTATTTTGAGGGAGATGAGTTACCACAGGGGCAGCTAGGTGGCACAGTGGATACAGTGCTGGGCCTGGAGTCAAGAAGCAAATCTGGCTCCAGAAACTTACTAGCTAGTAAGTGACCCTGAGTGAATCACTTAACCCTGTTTGCCTCAGTTTCCTCATCTGTAAAATGAGCTGGAGAAGGAAATGGCAAACCAGTCCAGTATCTTTGCCAAGAAAACCCCAAATGGGGTCACGAAGAGTCAGACATGTCTCAAAATCGAATGAACAGCAGTAGCAAAAAGTTAACACAATGGATAAAGCACTGGTCTTGAGTCAATACAGGCATTCAGATACTGCTACAAACACTTACTAGCTGTAGGACTCTACATAAGTCACATAACCTTTCTCAGCCCCAGTTTCTTCATCTGCAAAAAAGGAGATAATAATAGCAGTTAGCTCTGTGCTTTATGGGAACCCAGCTAAATTATGAACCTAATAGCCTTCCCCTCCCTAGAGAGTCCCCAGACACTGAGGTAGTGCAAAGTGGGGGGAAGGTGATGTCTCACATGTGGGGAGAGTATGTGTGTTTGTATATCTGAGATAATCCCTTGAGGTAAACATTTCTGTGTAAAATTTCATGTGTTACGTATCTACAGACAACTCAGGGAGTTGTGAAGAGCAAATGACATAATATTTCTAAAGCCCTTTGCAAACCTTAAAGTACTATTGCTATTATTAGAGAGAGGAACCTGAATTGTTATTTATTGCGAGGGAAAACTCCCAGCTGAGGAAATTCCCTCTACCCACCTAATTCAGCAGCACCTTCTCTGTAATTTAGATTCTCAGGGAATTGCCAAAAGAACTGAAAGTCCAATGATTACTGAGGGTCACATGACCCGTTTGTCTGAGGCAGAATTTGAAGATGGGTCTTCCTGGTTCGAGACCAGCTACCTATCCACCATACCAAAGTTCCTTCTCTTGAAATGCTATTGTTATTATAATTTTTTGTAGATACTAGGAGCTTAATAAATACTTATGGATGGATTACTTCTCTGTAACCTGTGCTTCTTGGGGCATGCCCACTTTTAACCTGACGATTCCCTTGAGGGACCTTTTTGGGCACACCCAGGTTGCCTAACATGAACCCTGCTGCATCCATCCCCTACTATGTGGTTGGGGGTAGCCTCTTTTGATTGGCAGCCTGAGGCTTTAAAATTGGCAAGACTGAGTGAGTCTTTTGCTCCTTGGAGGGGCTGGGGTTCATACCCTTTTTCTGCCATATTTTCAGCTTCTCTCTTTTGGGGACTAATCAGCTGCTACATCCAGCATGCATGCCAAGAATTGAACCAGTAAGAGAGAAAAGTTTATCCTTCCCCTGCTCTCCTTCATTTACCCTCTCCTCTAAGCAATGGGCCTGGACGAATCAGTTTTGTGTTTGTCCTCAGTTTCTGGTGCTGGAGGTGATCCCCACAGGATTGGAAATTCAAGCCATGACAGTGGAACGAGGATTTCAGGCAGAGCACCATAGCCAGTCAACCCAGCATGGAAACCCTGAGAAGCCAGGGTGCCTGGGATTCCAACCCAAGGAGGATTTTAGACCTGGAACTGAATCTGTTCTCTGTGGGAACCAAGCTAAGCTATGTACCTAATCTACTCCCCTACCTCAGAGAATGAGTTGGTACAAAGTAGGGGAAGGATTATTGGTCACCCAAACTGGGAGAATATTTTGCATATCTGTCATTATGCCTTCTGAAGTCAATATTTCCGTGTAAAAGGTCCCATTTTACATTAGAAAGCTCCTTGTCTTGTAGAATTCAGATTGCAGAATAGTGCCAGTCCTTAGAGTCTGCCCACCAGGCTGGGTGTGTTTTACTAGGGTGGCAGCACAATCAGAACTCTGCTTGAGGTAGCGGATGGAAGATAATACAAAGAGGAGATGACCATAGTTTAAGCCTGAATTTTATCACTTACTAACCAGAAGATACTAAACAGGCAATTGAACTTCCTTTACATTCAGTTTTCTCATCTGTCAAATGAAGATCATGTGTGCCTTAGGCTACAACTTGATTCAGGGAAGCCCTTGGTTCCTTTTTTTTTTTTTTAAATTATTATTCTTTCAGGTGATATTTCTAGGAATCCCAAAGAAGAAAGGAAGAAGAGATACTGACTCCATTTGGAGATGATGGAAGAATATTAAAATCATATTCCTAGGCAGGTACAAGTTTCCATAAAGAGAAAAATATAATCAGAGAGAAGATATACATGCATACACACAGACACACACAATATATACATATATAGGTGGGAAAGGATTAGAAGTTAGGCTTCCTAGCTGTGTGACCCTGGGCAAGTCACTTAACCCCAATTGCCTTAAAAAAAAAAAGAAGCTAGGCTTCCACAACAGAACAAGGGAATTCTGAGAAGGACTTCCAAGATCTTGTGGATCGTCCCTCAACCAATCAGAAAGTGCCCCAAACATTCTGCAAACAACTATTTCCTTAAGAAAGAGCCCTGGAGGCTAAACCTGTTGCAACCTGTGGAGGTCAAGGTCAGGGCAAAGGCTTTTCTCCACTATGCTTGCTTGATAAGCTTATTGAATATTAACCGACTCACCCCGAGGGCAGAGATAGTTGCCATTTTTGAACATGGGACAAATGAACTGGGAGGAGATAACGTGACAAGGAGGAACATGGAGGAACATGGGATGTGCAGTTCAGGAAGAGTATAACTCAGATGAGCTGGTTCAATCCTGGCTCAGATGGGAGGAGTATGGATTTTACTAACCATTTAAAAGCCTTTAGGGCAGCTAGGTGGCACAGTGGATAGAGCACTGGGCCTGGATTCAAGAGGACCTGAGTTCAAATCCGGCCTCAGACACATAACACTTACTAGCTGTGTGACCCTGGGCAAGTCACTTAACCCCATTGCCTAACCCCCCCAAAAATAAATAAATAAAATAAAGTAAATAAAAAAATAAAAAAGGCATTTCTACCTCTGTACCAGTGCACACATGCCTCTAGGGTGCAGTGCATCCATTTCTCACAAAAAGTGTCATAAAGGCTTTCCTTCACATGTGCCTGTAGTAGATTTTTGTTTCAGATTTTTCTAACATATATATATGTATATACACACACACACACATATAATGTGTATATACACATATGTGTATATATATACATATATGTATATGTGCTGTTGTTCAGCTGTGTCCAACTCTTCATGACCTTGGATGGACCATACTGTCCATGGTGTTTTCTTGGCAAAGATATTGGAGTAGTTTGCCATTTCCTTCCCCAGTGGATTAAGGCAAAAAGAGTTTAAGTGACTCGCCCAGAATCACACAGCTAGTCAGTGTCTGAGATAGATTTGAACTCATATCTTCCTGCCTCCAGGCCCTGTGCTCTATCCACTGAGCCACCTAGCTGCCATATATGTGTGTGTATACACAATCCATATATACACATGTCTATAGGTATGTGCATGTACTCATCATACGTGCATATATACATATTATATATGTGTGTCGAGATAGATGTAGATAAGTATATGTATGTGGTTTTTGTTT